AAATAGTTGACTCTTCTCTGTTATTCTCCGCATCTAAATACTTCTAATCACCCTCCTTGCCAAACTCAGCAATCCCCGTTTATGTTGGATCATTTTTCTTCTCTATTGCAGCATTAAGAAATACTAAGAACTGCAACATTTCCTAAAAAAAATTTCAATAAACGAATCCTTCTATTTATATAGATTAATTGACATAATAACCATCCCCTGCTGTACACTGAAAGCATTAGATCAAAACAAGAAACGAGGAAAAAAATCAATCATAGAAATCAGATTTTAGATGAGATACTTCGTAATAAAAAATAAATTATAAAAAAAGAACACAACGTATATCAAACGATTCGGAATCGAAAAAAACCTTCAAGATGCCAACAACGGTTCCCCGACTACCCGGAAAGTTCTCAACAGCAGTAACCACGTCTTAATTTATTAAAATTAAATGAAAATATGACACTAAATAGGACGCAATGGAGAAAAAAAATTCATGTAGCCGACCCCACGTAGTGGGATTAAGGATTTGTTGTTGTTGTTGTTGTTGTTGTTGAAGAGTTATTTCCTTCCCTATTTTATATTTATTTCCTTGGATTGAGTTTATTTCATTTCTTATTTTAGGCTTTCTGCATTCTTGCTGTTGCTGATATAAAATCAATCATATAGTTCAATTTTATGTTATTTCTTTTCTCCCAAATCATTAATATGAATTGATTAATTGGAGAAATTAGGACTTATATCTTTCTTTCATATTATTTCTTTTTTATTGTATTTCCTATTCTAGGATTCATATAAGGGTTATTTATAACCACTTTCATATCAATGAAAATACCACTTTAATTTTGCATTATTCTGAATTTCAACAAAAATTAATATTATATTTCTTATGATTTTATTATATTTTGCTAAAGTATGACTAATGCTTAGGATTTTGAGGACATCATATAATATTAATGTAAATGGAGAATGGAAAATTCCACCTAAATACCGAGCAAATATTTGTATATCGATCATCATTTTTTTCTTTCACTATTTGATTTCTTTTATATTTTCCAAGCATGTAATGCTAGGTTTGTCTCGATTTTTTGCACTAATTTTGATTACATCATTCCCCACTCTTTCTATCCTAAACAATCCTAAAGCATGTTATTATACATTCAACTTTTATATGATACAATCACTCAAAATTTAATACAACAATTACAATAAATGAAAAAAAAAATACACAAATAGAATGGACTCGCTTGCAATCAATGATGTGAATCTAAATTATAAGATTGTTAATTTTCTGGAATCAATTCTCAATGTAAATATATAGCCTTTGTAGCAATAACAACAACCATGCATGCCTACTTTGTCTCAAGAAAATACACAATAACTTGATTAACAACATGCCATTCAAGCACAATCTTATACCACTAGAAAAAAAAATATTAATTTTATTCAAAAGGATCCCCTCAGGTATAACTTATAACATTGCCTTAAAGTTATTTACAATAAACACATTATAATATTTAATAACTATATTTTATCACGTATCAATTTTAAAATTCATATTCTTAATTTAAAGTTAAGCATTTAAGATATAACTTACAATCAGATTTTGACATAAACATGAAGAATCAATATTCAAGCATTTCATAAGAGAATAAGTACAAATATAAACTAAACCAAATTCATTGGCGACTTTTAAGAATCGCTTTATACTACATCCTTAAGAATTACATCTAAAAAAACTTTCATAAAAATACTTCCAAATAACTTTCCAAAAACATCCAATAAAAGACAGTTCCCAACACTGCCTAAAATCACCTTTACGCTTGCAAAATACCGCTCAAGCAAATAACGCTCAAGCACTACAAAAAAAATACTAAAAACTTCAAAATATAATATAGCAAAAAACTACCCAAAAAGAATACAACACATAACAAAGAAACACCCCCAAACTTGACGCAAAAATTGTTCTCAATAAAAGTAAAATGTTTTCTAAAGTAATGGAGAAAGAAAGCTTCTTCTAAAAGATGAGATCACTATTCTTCAAATTCATCTTAATTTTGTTGTTTAGGCTGTAGGTATCCCGTGTATAGTGAAATGCCTGGTGGATCTAGAAAATAAGCTCTATTTGATCTAACATTCAACAAGCAATTCAAAAACATTCTTGCTGTTGCTGATATAAAATCAATCATATAGTTGAATTGTTGGGTTTGTCGATCCATACAGTAAACCAACTGAAATGCTCTGATAGAGTATATTGTCTTTTTGCCACTTGATAATTCTAATTATGTACTCGGACATTACAAAATTGCTCCTACTCAAGGAAAAGGGCTTGTGCAATGCATTCAGTTGTGGATTGAAGATTCGAGCCCTTGGGTTTTATACCTAGATTTTTGAGAGGAGGCATTAATTATAGCACAACGACTTAGAGTGCTAGTGCTAAAACATTGTCTAATTTGTCATCTCCAATTTTACTCCCTCAAAAGGGCCGCAATGCCATTGTTCCTGAGCTTAGGAGCTATCAACTACAATTTTTAAGTTTTGATAGTTGTCGTTTTGAAAAACTGTAGCATTGATGCAATCAAATTTTTTATGAATTAATCAATTGTTGAGGTATAGGTGCTATCAGATATGCAATTAATTTATGCATGTAGGAACCATCAACGCCATTTTTTTAGACCTTATCCTTTCAACCTCCGCACATAGCACGCTAATAAACAATAGCATTGGGATACCATAAATGCTTGTCTTTTTTGTTGTTATATTGTTCAAATTAGATGTGGTATATAATTACATGCTTCAAAACATCCTTTATAGTTCTTAAAGCACTTGTTGTCTAAAAGCTCAATAATCAAGCACCATGATGCTTTACTTTCAAGATGAAGTGATGCAACATCAAAAAGAAGTACTAAAGTGCTTGCTCATTGTAAGAGTAGCGCTTTGGATGTTCCGTAATCTAGCACTTCTACATTTTATAAGTATCGAGGTATTGATTTATGTGAAGCCTAAGCATTGTTTGCTACATCTTCCTGTTCTAATTTTGTCACGCATACAAATAAGAAAAAAAATTTACACCTCTCCATTTTATAAGCATCAAGGCATTGATTTACATGAAGCCTAAGCATTGCTTGCTACATCTTCCTTCTAATTTTTTGTCACTCTTACAAATATAAAAAAAATATTTAAACTAAAACAAATAGTAAAAGCATCTATATTAGAATTGGGTTGCTTCCCAAACATCACTTAATTTATAACTATCAATTTGTCTATGTCATTTCAAATCTAAATGAATAAACTTATAGACATTTTGTCAATTCACTTGCCCTCTTGTCCTCCTACATAATGTTTTAATCTTTCCTAATTCACTTTAAAAATATTTTTAAGTTTTCAGATATTTTGTGTCATGCTTTAACAATTAAGAAAGGTTTGACCCTTACGATTTCAACTTTATGAGAAAAACCATTTGCCTTGCATTAATAAGAAGAGCCTCTTAACTAGGCTTAAATTATCTTTTTACTAATTTTTATCATAAAAATTTTTAATTTGTTCTTTATAAAGTTTAGCATTTGTATATGCTTGCAATCTAAGTTTATCTAGTTCATTCAATGTAAATTCCATTTTTCTCCTTCTTTCTTCATATTAAAATTCAAATCTTTTTCTGCCTACTAAATCTTATATTCTATTTCTAATGCTAAATGATAACCTTTTGCAAAAATTATTATGCATAATAACATTCTAATAAGTGTTTTATACGCACTCTCACATGCCCACAATACATTATCTAAGTGTTTTGACCAGTCATTTTTTGATGGGTTGACTGTATATTAGAACTTTCTTTTGATTTTCCTATTAAAAATTTTGACTTGTCCACTTGTTTAGGAATGATAGGCAATGACAATTTTATTCTTAAACCCATTTTCCCAATAATGCTTGGAAGTATACATTCAAAACTGGCTTCTTTCATCAATTATAATAGCTATAAACATTCCAAATTTAATAAAAATACTTTTCTCCTACAAAAATCATTATATCTTAGAGTTATCAATAGGTCTTATTATAACTTCTGCCCATTTAAAAACATAATCTACTAACACAAAGATATGTCAGTTTTCATATAGAGAATTGAAGGGCTCCATAAAATCTATTCCACAAAACATAAAAATATTCAGAGAATATAATATAGGATTGCATGACGTTTTTTATATGTTCACCATGTATTGGCATTTATCACAATATTTTACATACATATGTACATCTTTGAATAAAATTGACTAATAAAATTCATTCAGTAATATCTTTGTGTTTCTTTTTGCTCCTCCAAAATGGCTAATCATATGCAGAGTTCTGATAGTCATGGAGGACGGCCAACGCAATACCGTGAAAATAGAACTCCAAATATGCAAAAGGACTATCATCTTATGGAAGGCTAGCGATGGTAGAACATTGGGCGAAATTTCGAGTGACTTTTACTTAGTTGTTTAGTTGCTATTTTAAGGATAGTTGTCTGTTTTACTGGCTTAGCTGGTTAATTTTGTATGGTGCTAAAGACACTGGTCACCACATGGTGATAGCAATGAATATATGTTACGAAATATATTGGTTGAAATGAGGAATGAAAAGGTTCAATAAAAAATCTAGAATCATATTTTCCTAAATAGTTGACTCTTCTCTGTTATTCTCCGCATCTAAATACTTCTAATCACCCTCCTTGCCAAACTCAGCAATCCCCGTTTATGTTGGATCATTTTTCTTCTCTATTGCAGCATTAAGAAATCCTAAGAACTGCAACATTTACTAAAAAAATTTTTAAAAAACAAAACCCTCTATGAATCTAGATTGATCGACATAATAACCATCCCCTACTGTACACTGCAAGCATTAGATCAATACAAGAAACAAGGAAAAAAAAAATCAATCATGGAAACCGGATTTCAGATGAGATACTTCGTAAGAAAAAAAAATTAAAAAAAAAAAAAAACACAACCTATATCAAATGATTCGGAATCGAAAAAAACCTTCATGATGCCGACAACGGTTCCCCGACTACCCGGAAAGTTCTCAACAGCAGTAACCACATCAGCAGTATTAAAGAAAGTCTGCGAATGTGCCGCAAGTAACATATAGAAGCACATGAGGCCAGGTGGGGGGCGAGGTAGTGCACCGGTCACAGAAAGCCACATCAGGAAGTATCCGGCGAAACATTGAATGGCACCAGCGGCGAGAACGACAATCGGACCATCGCCGCTGGCGAAATAAGAATATAAGAATCCGGAGAGTACGCCAATGTTGGCGCCGGCATCCTTGAAGAAGGCAACCGAGTCTAGGGTAGACTGATCATAGGACTGCGAGGATTTAAGTAGAGGTGAATAGATGCCGAAGCAGTAGGAGGAGCCACTCGTGCACTGGATCCACACACTCGCCGCCATGGCAGTCCATTTGTTCCGGCGAAAGTAGGTGCTTATTTCCATGGCCTCCAGTCGCCGCCGCATCAACGGCTATCACTGGCCAGAATCCTATGGCCCGTCTTCCTCGATATCTGCTGCTGTTACGATAGGCCGGACAACTGTCCGTTTTATGAGAAAATATTAGAGTTGCGTGCAACTCCAATAAAATCCAGTTACCGTCACCAAAAAAATATATATACATCACAAACGAATATGTTATCATGTTATTCAATTGTTATTATATATTATTCAGAATTTATTATATATTATTCAAATATTATTAATATATTATTATATTATTATAATATCAAAAATATTATCAGAATATAATAATATATAAATAACATACAATAATATCTGAATAATACAGAATAACACAGGGAATATTTATCTGTCATCGGGCCGATTTTTTTTCTATCACCTTAACATGACGTGATTTCATTGGACTTCACACGTAACTCTACTTGCGGAGTTATAATGCAATATTTTTTCCCATTTTGAAAGTATTCTATGATAAGATAATAACAAATAATTATAATTTTTTATTATTTAGTCTTATTTTATGCTATTTAGATCGTCTGAATGTGATAAATAAAACTTTGTTGGGAATTTTTTTTTTGGTAAACTTCTGATAATTTAATTATTAAAATAATTACAAAATATAATAAACACATTATTTTCATTATTTGGTCATACAAAACCGGATCCTACAAGTTTGATTGGTTCAATTTAATGCTCAGCAACAAAAATCTAATTTATTATTATTTTTTTAAATCTCAATATTTAATTTTTAGTTATTGATTTAATTTTTATTTTTATTTAATGGAACAAATTAAAAATAAAAAAATCTGAAATTAAATGCATGATTCATGAAATTTGATCGATAGTATACATGTAAGATATGCAAATCTTGAACTTTGTTGATAATTGAATTCAAACTAACTAGTAAATTTTAGTTTGTTCATGATCGAATTGTTTGAACTAAACTAAATTTCAATTTAATATATTTAGTTTTATCGAAATTTGGATTGGTTTCGTCCAGATTTTGGATTATGTTGAAATCGATTTGACCAATTTGAAACCAATTTCATCTAAATTGATTGCATGTTTACCGGACAAAATAGAACATGAAGAAAGGATTGATAACATGTTTATATTCTCAAAAAAGAAAGACTATACATAGATAATAAATAAAATAAGCAAGAAAATATAATTTTATTTAATTTCATGAATAAAATTCAACAAGTAATACAACTCAAGAATTTGACTGATTTAAACTCATGCACTTCTAAATAAATATTTATATGATGCAATATTAGGTGTGTTTATACATATAAAACTTTTAACACTACTTGATAATATACAAGTCTAATATATGTATATACATATATAACTATATGTATATATTGTTGATTTTCTACAGCACTGTGAAATAAGAAAAGGTAGACATAAATGCCATGAAAATTCAATAATTTCTTTGAGAACCTGTCGATCCAACTAACAATAATAAAGGTTTAATACCGACATAATAATATTATAATATCAGATATATTTCATGCATCACAATCAAAACGAATGAGCATAACTACAACATGTCCATCAATATTTATACACAATTATAAATTTGCAACAATGAGATTTAACATATAAAAGAGATCAAATAGATAATAAATAATGGAAATATGAAATACAAGTAATTAGACATGAGTCCATGTAGCAATAAAATAAGACTAATTACACATGAAAATCATTATGAATAAAAATAAAATCTATTATAAATATATAAACATAATTTAAACGTATGACTGACAAAAACTTACAATTAGCTAGGAATCTAATATAAATAACATGAACAACACTCATAAAAAAGAAGAGGAGCCTTTATCCCATATTACATAATAGCTAATTATATTGAGGTGGACAAAAAAATTCTTAAAAGTTTTAGTAGTTCAACAAAATTCAAGTAATAACATTATTATTGATGGGTCCCAAGTCTTAGATATAAAAAGTGGATAGTTGTTTTAGGTAATCGACAGCCAACATAAATTTTTTATTATAAAATTGTAACATGAATCATTTAAATAATTGTGTAAATGCTAGCTCGTCTCCTAGAAGTGACCCATTATATGACCTGAATACAACGAAAAATGTGCAATGACTGCTGCACAGACTCATGAGTGCAGTGTAAATAAATAAGTGTTTCATAAAAATAATATTAGGATAGAATCATGAAATATCTAGTCATATTATGTTTTACTTTAACTTATGGTTTTGATGTTGTTAATACTTTATTAAAGAAAAGAGATGATCATATTATTACTTATAAAAATGGATCTAATAAAATATAAATTAATTAGTTTCTGACGTGAAAAAGAAATAGTCTAGATTGTAAAGATTTTAAGATCATTCTAGGCGAAAATTTAAGTGCTCAACATGATTATTAGTTTTCGATTTTAAGATAAAGGGTTGGAAGATGAAAAATAGAACAAGATATTACCACAGACTTAAACAGAGACAGTTAAAAGTAACAAATAAAATTTATTTTATCAGTATAAACATACAAATAAAATTATTTTCATGAGTATACATCAAGATCTTAAGATTTGAAAGTTCATGAAGAAATTAATACTATGTGGGACGAAGTAACGTGTACTATTATGCATGATACAAAAGATGTACTTGGAGAATCAAATAGAAAAATTTTAAAAAATAAAAATAGTTGATGGAGGAATAAAAATGTGAAGAAAAGATAAAAAATAAAAAATTTTATTATAAAATTAATTTAAATGTAAAAACTTAGATAATTAGAAAGAAATATAAGGTGGTCTATAATGAGTCTAAGAGAATAATTTATGATGCTAAGTATTGTGTTGTTAGTGATCTTTATAATATATTAGATTAAAGAGTGTCAAAGATATATGTATAAACTTATCAAATAAAGATATAATAAAAATAAATATTTTGTCCAAGTAAAGTGTACTAAATATTAAAATCAAAAAGTACTTTTCATAGTTGAGGATAATCAACATATGTGAGTAAAATATTTTGATAAATTTTTCAATAAAGATTTTGAAAACACAATCAACTTAAGTGATCTTAATATTTTTAAAAATAAGAATAAAACTTTTATTTTTGCAACGACATTAGTAAAATAAAAGTTGAAGGTTGGAAAATTAATAAGACAATGATATCACAATAGAAATGTGGAAGTGATCAGAAGATTTAGGAATTATTGGTATACTAAACTTTTTAATATTATTTTAAAAAATTAAAAAGATGTTTGAGTTGAGGAAAAGTATTTTGGTTCTATTTTTAAGAATAAAGATGATACAGAAGAGTGTACAAGTTATAGAGAAATTAAATTAATGTGTCACACATTAAAATTATGGAAAAGAGTAACTAAACAGATTAAAATTTGATATAAAGATTTCTCAAAATGAGTTTGTATTTATGTTAGGCAAGTCTACTATGAAAGTTAAACATTTATAGAAATGTCTCAAGGGAGAAGTACAGAGAGAGCGAGAAAGATCTAGATTTTTGTTGATTTAGAAAAAGCTTATGATAATGACCAATAGAAGTTCTTTGGAGAGTTATAGAAAAGTAAGGTGTTGATATGATTTATATTCAAGTTATTAAAGATATGTATACTAAAGTTGTGATGTATTCGAATAGAAGGAGGATTGACCAGGTATTTTCCTATTTTAGTTAGATTACATCAAGGATCAGCTCTAAGCACGTATTTTTTTGCTATAGAAGGTGATGGTGATGGGAAAAAGATTGCGAAACCTAATTGACTGGGAAGGTGATGGAGAAGTGATGAACTAAAATATGTCTAGGAGACACGCCTAAGGAATAAAGTGAGAATGGGAGGAAAAGAGCAGAGAATGCACAACAATGAAGAGTAAAATCGTGTTACCTTTATTCATGAAATGAACCTCTATTTATAGATATGGGAACCGTAAGATTACATACCTACCCTTAGTAAAGTGGGTGCGGTAGAGGGTATTTTAGTCAATACATAGTTGTGACGTCATCTGGGTAGCTCATGATCGGGACAAACATAGCCAAAGAGTTGACTGGGAGATGCCAGCCACATGCCCATGATCTAGGCGACTTATGTCATCCGACCAACTTGGATGAGGAGTCCTGTCAGATAGTCCATGTGAGGTCCATTCGAACAACCTTTTGGGAGGTTCATCGAATTTCGTCCCTCATGGGATTAGATTTCTCCCGGCTAGCCTGATCTGGGTGGACAGATGCAGACTCTCAAACTGCCTCTAGTGGGTCCCAGCTTACCACATCATCTTTCTTGTGGCTGTTGGATTTCTTCTAGATTCATGTTGACACATTGTTTATGTACATATTTAAGTTTACTGATACTTCTGCTCCTTGATAGCGGTAGTTGTAACAAGGATAAGAGAATCTTAATTTTTAAAAGCTAATGGCATTCAAGATTATGTTCAAGATTATTAAATGCACAATAATTGAATTCTCCTAGTATTCCATGCTAGAGCCCCTATAAATGGAGAAGAACTGAAAGAAAAATTGTGGAGAAGAACTAAAAGAAAAATTGTATCTTATCTCTTTTGTTTGCTTTGGTCGAGTCCCCCTTCTTCTCTGTAATTAGTGATCATGGAGAGCGGTCACCCTTCCAAGTAAGTCAAGTTTGGTGAGAGTGCCAAAAAAAAAACGTCTTCCATGTTATAAAACAGAGGGCAAATTCTTCTTTTAAGGGTGAGCAACATGGGAAACTTTTTGCGGCTGAGGCAAAGCTCCCTGAGTCGGGAGATGAAGTGGGGACATCAGACCCACTTATAGATTGCCTTACAGAGGGGTTTTAAATGAAAGAGGTTGGCTACCTGGCGAAGATGCATCAGACGATGAAGGTAACCCGTCCAGAGGATAAGGACCCATTTGGGGTAATGGCAGAAGAGTGGCGGGCGCGGCACCATGCTGATGAAGAGAGGTGTTTGGAGCAGCGACAGACCTGCGATGCAGGCAAAATAAGAGAAAATGCGAGCCGCAAGTTCGATCCCGCGACCTACTTTTCAGTCCCAATTTTTTACCTGGATACCCTTTGCCTCGTCCGCCCTAAGTGTTGCAACTCTTCCGTTTGTCTTCTTCGTCTGCCCTTCCTTCTCTTCTC